CCACCTTATTAGGGTCATTAATCTCCTTTCTATAAAGTGATTAACCCTAATTCGGATTTTGAAAATAAGTCTGAAACCTAGACCGAACGGACTGCTAAGTAGTCCGTTCGGTCTGTACACTTGGTCCGTTCGGACCAGTCACAAAACACAGTCCGTTCGGTCTATACACTTCAGTCCGTTCGGTCCAACATTTGGTCCGTTCGGACTGGATCATCTAGTCCGTTCGGTCCAACCATTTGGTCTGTTCGGACTGGATCCTCTAGTCCGTTCGGTCCAACAACTTGGTCCGTTCGGACTAGATGCTCTGGTCCGTTCGGTCTACTCCTGGACCGAACGGTCCGGACCTCTTGTCCAGGTTTCTCGACGTTTTCTCGTGCATTTTCCTTCTCTGCGTGTGTGACCCTGTAGGCTCATTCGATATAGCAGTATAACCCGAAATCTCTAGTCCGGATATACAAGTCATACGTGGTCTCTAGCAAGACACTATGACTACCTATCTCGAATAGAGTTTGTTCGTGATCTTACGAACGCCAGTGATGATTCCGATTGATGATCCTTTTGTATCACGATATCATATGTCGAACATAAGGCATGGATAAGTACCTTATCTGATTCGACTGCTTTCTCGTTCAATTCACTGAGTTCGACTGTACGAAATAGACGATGCTCGTCTATAGTGTGGCCATACATATCTACAGTCTCGCTCACACGAGGGGCCTAGCGATATCTCTCTCTTTTACGAGAGGTACAAATCCCGTCTTGACTATCTATAATCCAGCACATGATTCGTTTCGTACCTGATACACGCCTTTATAGTCTTTCTGTTACGCAGGACGTTTGACGTATTCAAAGCACGCAACTCCTCATGTTGGATTCTGTAGATATCTCAGGTCTTAGGATCCAATCATGGAACCGTCATATGAGATTCAAGTCATGACGCTAGTCCATGTGACAATCTCATGCGGGTCAATCCAGTATTCCGTTCTCCAATGAATACCTATGATTGTGATCATATCCAATACCTATGATCATCTATATGATCATCAATCACACATGATACTAGTCTTAGTATATCATTATTCTCACAATGATATATGACTAGGGAGTTTAGTATTGTTCATAACAATACATGGATTTCATAACATATTAAAGCATGCACAATACGTAATGAATCAAACACTCATCCATAAACTATAGAAAGTGTTAATACATCAAATGTATCTAAGTAAATCTCGCAAACAGTACATCATAGAGCACTAAACCAACAGGCATGGTATGAGCCACCCTTCAAGTTCAACCGCTTACTCGTCTTGGAAAATCGACTAACAAAATAGATGTAACCTCATCTATAGTGTGGCCACGCGTCTTTCACAGTCCGATTTCCACGAGGGGCCCAACGACATCTCTCCTGCTAAGGAGGTGACAAGTCCCGTATTGCATGTCTACTGTCTCTATATGATTCTTGAACGTATCTGAGCAACACCGTTATGATCTTCCGGTTAAAGACGACGTTTGACGTAGTCAAGACACGTCACTCCTCATATCAGATACTCTAGACATCTCAGGTCTGAGGATCCAAGAACGAACCGCTGTATGAGATTCAAGTCATGACTTATGTCCATATGACAATCTCATGTGGGTCATCCAGTCACTCGTTCCAAACGAGTACACATGATTATGATTTGCATCAAATGCATATGATCATCACCATCATCAATCACACCTCATGCTGGTCTTAATTCATTCATTGTTCCCACAATGACAATTGACCAGGAAGTTTAGAATCATCTGCAATGATTCAAGGATATCTACCGAAATATAACAAACATGTCAATCACGGAAAAAGTAATGCATTCATAAACTAATGAATCAATACATAGTCAAAATGTCATATCACGGATCATCCTAGAGTATTACAACCAACAATTTCAAAACAATATCACATTTCTCATTTAATTATAGGGGTAATCACATAAAAATACTCGAACTTTTATAAAAATCCCAAATAAATACCCGAACTATAAAATGTTGGTTTAGTGCTCTATGATGTACTGTTTATGAGCTTTCTTTAGATACATTCG